CGGGACCGGCGAAGGGGAAGGACGCTGCTGAACACCCTCAAAAGGCGTGGAAGAAGCGCATGCAAAGCTTTACCGGGCATCACCATGACGAAGACGGTAACGTTATCGCAAAGCCAAAAGCCAAGAAGCCCGAGCACAAACGCGGTCCAGCTCTCGCCTACCAATTTGGTAACACCATCATTGTTGAGGATGAGGATGGAGAGGTCATAAAGAAGTACGACATTCCGGCTAAGCCAAAGGAACAGCGACCAGGGGCAGCCCGCGGCTCCTCTATGATCGAAACGTCCGGTCGTGCTATGCAAAGTCTCAAGCGAATGGGTACACACATGGGCATCCCGACGCACTCCGAAGCAGCGCCTTCTGATGTTCAGGGTGCTGCTGACAGCAAGAAGAAGAAGAAAGATTCCGACGAAGACGACGACAACCTTCGTTTCACGCTTACCGCTGGTGGCCGCAGAATGAGCAAGACCGAGTTCATCCAACAAATGAGCCAACTGAACCCTAAGGATCGCGCCAAGATGCTGCAAGAGAGCAACGTTCCCGACTCCGTCAAGCGTGAGGCGCACCAAGATGCAAAGGACCACCATCGCCGGACACAAGCCGCTTCTGAAGCTAACATTCCCCCTGTTATTGGCGAGGAGGGCGAGGCTCAGCTGCACAAGATTGAGTCTCCCGTAGCGGAAAAAGAAGGACAGCCTCGTGGCCCCGAAGGATTAACCCTGGTCGATAGCAACGAAGAGCATGTGCCGTTTCACTCTGTTCCCCAGACGCTGGATGAGCACTCTGCAGGCCAAGAGAAGGAAACTGCAGCACAACGTCGACGCCGCCTCGCCGCTGAGCAGTCAAAAGCAAGTCCACAGGCTGAAAAGGGTGAGAATAGTGAGGACGAATCCCCTGCCGAACGTCGCCGCCGTCTCGCCGCGTTGAAGGGATCTACCTCTCCGGCAGATAAAGCTCGTCGTCCGATGCCGTCCAGCCAACAGCAGTCTACTGCTAGTGAAGGATTCGAAGGCGAGACGGCAGCGGAACGGAAACGTCGTCTCGGTGCCCTGGGAGTTGGAGGAGAGGATTCGCCCGAGTCAGACTCCGAAGGCGAGCCCGAGACCGGAGACCCTATGGAGACTGGTCGCGGCACGCACTCGCAAGCAGCAAAGCAAAACCTCGCACCTTCTCGAGCACCCGGTATCCGCTTCGCTGATGCGCCTCGCATCCCTACCAAGGACGAGCGCGCTGCCGAGGACGCAAAACAGAAAGAAGAGGTCCAGACTGGGAAGAAGGGCAAGCTTAGTGGCTTCCCTTGGCAGAAGAAGTAGAACGGGGTGTGGTAGAGGGCATTAGTCCCGCCAAGAAACATTGACGGGCATAATATTTGGAGTTGCGCTAGTCACAGGGTATGGCGTGGAGGCGCTCTATTCTTGAATATTGTGTTTGCATTTCAGCGCGCATAGTCATACATCATCACGCCGCATAGAGACGATTCTTATATATCGATGCGTTTCGAAGCATCTAATTCATGTTAAAAAATCTAATAGACTCACTTCAACATTCGTACGTTGAACCATCCCGAACACTTCTTCTGTAGCTACTCAGCGCTCAGTGACATCACAAGTCCACGCCATCCCACTTAGCCCGCTTAATCTCGTATCGCCAACAGCAGAGCCTCGGCTACGAAGCTCGTTGAGGAAGTTACTTACACAAGATCACTTGGCGCCCAGCGCCCTGATGTGAAGAGTTTTATCAATCTGATAAGATGATCTGATTAATCCAAGCCTCCTGCAGTGATGAGGCCAATGAGAATGCAATGCCTCAGCACCGGGTGGAGAGACATAAGAAGTATGCAAACGGCCGGGTCTGAGCATGTGCGAGCTACATGAGAATGTCGGAGGCCGAGCGATGACTGCAGGAGGGGTACAAAATGAGCTCATTTTCTGAGGTGTATATGTTCGTTGGCATCCCCAGCAAACAACCCTCACGCTCAAGTCCCTTCTCGCTTCACCTAGTTTGACTACCATGGGTTCCATTGCGCACCAGACGCCTGAGACGCTTCTCAGCGTCGCCGCCAAGATAACAGAGTACGCTCAGCAGCTCACCAAAGAGCTGGAAGCCGGTAAAGTCCCGCCCGTCACACTGGAGGCAGACAGCCCGATCAAATATGAATCGCTGCCGGGGAATGCGTTCTTCGTGAGACAGCAGCTGGAAGATGCGCTGAAGGATATGTACATCCTCAGCCAGGGGCCTAGCGAGAGCACGTTCAACTACTGCCACACTGTAAGCCGCTAGTCCCAACGGGATACCTTATGTTGATATATGGTGAAAGGCTGTGCCAGACATCGCAACCCTCAACGTGCTCAACCAATTCGACTTCTGGAGCGCAGTACCCGTGGATGGCACCGCGACGCACGAGCAGATTGCCAAACACACCGACCTGCCTGTGGAGGTGGTGCAGCGCACCCTCGACCACGCGGTGACGATGCGGTACTTTGCTCGCCCTGAGCCTACCTCCACAAGCGTGAAGCACACATCGCGCTCCGCAGCGTTGGCCAAGGATGCCGGGCTGAAGGCGCTGGTGCAGATGGTGCTCGACGAGACGTCGCCGCCCATGATGCTGCTGCCCGAGGCGCTGAGACAGTTCGCGGTTGGTAAGAAGGAGATTAGCAAAGTGCAGAAGGAGACGGCGTTCAGTCTGTGCCATTCTGGGGGTATCTGGGGGGAGTATAATAATACGTGGGATTTTATTGAGAATGATGGTGAGGGGGAGAAGAAAGGGTGGCGGCAAAGGAACTTCATCAAATTCATGGCTTATATCAAGGACTTGTTCAAGACGGAGTCAATCGTTCTGGAGGCGATTGACTGGGAGGCGGCGGGAAATGCCACCGTCGTCGACGTGAGTATCCTGCACCCCTGCTTTGGCGAGTCCATAGTCACTGACGAACGCCCAGCTCGGCGGTTCAGCAGGCCACGACGACATCGCGCTCGCAACGGCGTATCCAAACCTGACCATTGTCGTTCAGGACTTACCCCAAGTGGCCCCCGTATTCGAGCGCGACTTCCCTCAGGATCTCAAATCGCGCGTCTCCTTCCTAACACACAACCTCTTCGACCCCCAGCCCGTCCAAGCAGACATCTACGTCCTGAAGTGGATCCTGCACGACTGGCCGGACGTCGAGTCCGTCGCCATCCTCAAGGCGCTGGTTCCCGCGCTCAAGCCAGGTGCTAGAGTCGTCTTCATCGATTACGTGGGCAAGAATGATCCAAGCGAAGACGCCGCGCTGCCGCATTCGATGCGGGCGTTTGGCACGGCGACGGATATGCGGATGATGGCGCTGTTCAACGCGAAGGAGAGACCGGTTAGCGCGTGGAGGGAGATCTTCAGGCAGGCGGATGAGAGGTATGAGGTTAGCAATGTGAAAGCGGATCCTTTAACGTTCATGTGCGTGTTGGAGGCTACTTGGAGGGGTTGATGGGCGTATGTGTGCGGAACCAAAGACCGGTGGATAGGTATGAAAGGGAAGACAAGCGATCAAATGAAGACAAGCCATTACAAGAGCACGTCCCGTTGTCTCTCCGCACGATTTGCCGCAGTTCGACACTGACGGTAACACATCTCAGGGCTCAAGGAAGGCGTTTCCTGCTGACGCGCCCGCTCTTGCCTCCGTGTTTCTGCCGCGTCTTGTAGACGGGGCGACGAGGGTTCGCACATGGTCGGAATAACTATGGTACATGAACAAGGTCTATAAGGATCGTAAATCCTACGAAGTCAATGAGTTCCACACCTTATGTGGCCTCTTGCGCGCCAAAGAAAGCTGCAGATAATGGGCTACTTCACAATAAAGATGCTCTACAATCATAGCATAAAATCAAGTTCTAGAGATTAAAAGTTAAAAAACCCAAGCTTAGTTGCCTGTTTAGCTTTTTTGTAGTCCCCTAGAGCCCCAAAATCACAGTGCGTAGGCATGTAGAGTTCCACGATGGAGGTCTTATTTGCCACTATTTTTGACGTACAAGAGATGGCCTCGATTTCACATCGAAAGCTTGCTTGGTGATACTTATCGGCTTTTTCGATTTGAGTAATATTTACATGACTTGAGTAAGCCCGCAGTGTGCCCTGGTAGGGCTCAAGTAAAGAAGGCTTTCTATACGATACCCTGGCCGGGTCCGAGCGAAGTTCCCGTCCGATGCCCTGTTCGGGATCGAAACAGATCGAACGAGGACTGCATGCACAAGGGCTTAATAACCACACGCTTTCCAGGCCTCGGGAGAAGGGCGCTCCTCCAAGCGACGGCGGTGTCGTGGGGGATGACTCTCTGGAGGAAGGACTGGGGAGCAAGCGGGCTCACGGCAGGGTCAGGCCTGGTCTGAATCAGAAAGACACTTCGATCATTGTTTTGATGCGCACTTATCAAGTCAAGTCCTACGAGACCGCAAGTACGGCCGTTGACTGAAGCTGAGGACATTCTTTGAGACGGTAAGTGTATTGGTAAAGCTGTGAGAGGGCTGTTGTATTGATAGGAGATACTCTGCGAGGGCGCGTCTCCTATTCATGTCCAACTTTACTCTCATGATCGGAGGTAAAGTCATGTTCTGTGCATGTATTCGTGGATGAAAAACACGTCCGTAGCGGACGAGTCGGGTGCTCCGTTGGAGCGGTCGTGAAGCCAGCGCTGTTGTCGATCGTGATCAGAATCAGACTGGAGTGCGCTCTTGACTCTGCTGATTCTGAGAACACTTAAGAGACAGAACGAGTATACAATTTTGTGTCGATCGCACAAGTCTGAATAAGCTAACCTGAGGGACTAAATGTATTCTCTTGTATGTAACAGTAGCGTGAAGGGGCAAGAGGCTTGCCTTCGACCACAACAGACGGTTGTTTGTAATTTAATTAGAATAAAAAAAACGTTACAGTGATAGTAGACGATTTTCTGTGGAAAGACAACATCGAATGTTGGTCGACAGTTCTAAAATGAGTCCAAAAGGATACCCGCTCTGAGCAAAAAGAAGAATGGACTAGTGGGTGATCGAAACCCAGACCTTTCGCAATCATGAAACATGTTCAATGCAAAGCGAACGCGCTACCACTGCGCTACAAGCCCCGCGACCTTTCTTGCTCGTCGATTGATAGTCACGTGGTGGTGCTTGATATATATATTCTGTTCTTTTGTCTAGACATATGCATATATCGACCAATCTATCCTCCACACTGGTATGGACTTGGGTTTGTGTGCCTCGCTTATGGGGAGGATTGCATCGGTGATTACCTAGCTTACAGAGTGGGTTCCCACAACTGCAGGAAAAGTGGGACCTTATGCTCTCTGAAGGCTACGGAAAATGGTCGGGTGGACGTGTATGAGGGCCGGACGAGAAGTTACGATTTCCTCTGCTGAGAACGAGCGTCATGTCCTAGCCTTTTCTTGTACGAACACACCAGTTAGTCTGCTATAATTTTATCGATAGCATCATGCCACACCCTCAAGGCACAAAATCGACCCAGCCAACTGCACATCCCTCGATATCTTCAGCGCTTCGTTCTACACCCTGGGTATCTATCACGCCATCTCTAAGCCTTCCCTTTCTTATCCCCCTTCGCATTCCCTTCCTCCTTCCTCGCCGCCATCAATTCCCTGTATGTATCGATAATCGTCCTCCGCTCCTCGCCCAACTCCTCGCGCTTCCTCAGACTCCCCACCGCATTAGGCACGTTATTGACATTGACCTTTGCCCCATTCTTGACCTTGAAAATCTCCCTCGGCACCTTGGTAAATGTAGGCGGCGCAGAAACAACATCGTGCAAGCCCTTCCTCTGCTCTCTTTTCTTCCTGAGTGCCTCCCACTCATCCTCGCTGTGATTGTCGACCTCGCCGACAAGCTTCTTCCGTTTCGCGGCCTTGGCTTTCTTGCCGTTGGCACGCAAACCCGGCGCCGCGGGCTCCTCAGTCTTGTCCTCCCAGATCAGCGCTTGCTCGTCGCGCTCCTCCTCGGCGAGCTCCTCCTCCTCGGCTTCCTTCTCGCGCAGCCGCGCCTCCTCCTCGCGCCACCCAGCCTGCAGCCGCTTGAGTCGCTTTTCGTGCTTCGTGACTCGGTGGTCGGCCACGCCAGCGACTTTCCTGGCCGATTTGGCGATGCCGGCGAGTGGAAGCGCTGCGTCGACGCGCGCGCTGTACTCGGCCATGGATTCGCCGGGCTGGATCTTGGGGATCTGCTTTGCTTCGGCGGTCGCGTTGGCTTTGGCAGCAGCAGCGGACGGCTTGGCCTCGTCGTCCGAGCCAGCGCTTGGCTTACTGCTCTGCTGGGCGGCGCGCTTCGCGGCGGCTTTCTGCTTCTTGGACAGGACGAGGCCGTCGTCGAGGGCGGGGCGCTTCTTGTTGGCGCCGACGCCGGATTGCGAGAAGGCCATCAGCCGTTGGAAGGCTTTCGGTGTGTCATCGTGTCCGTAGCCGTCGATGTGGGCAACCTTGCGCTTTTTCGCCTTGGAGTTGGTGCTGGCCGTCTTGCCTTTGCCGACTGGGAGAGGCGCGGCGAAGGTTGTGGGCGGAAGGTTGTAGCTGGCGCAGCGTCAGTACTGTCACGTGTAAAGAGATAGCTGCAGGTGTGCGAAACATACTCTGCTGCATCGCCCGCCTTGCGTTTGTGTTTGTGCGGCATCGTTGCGGCTGTGAGTCGTCGACGTTTGCGGTGCCGCAGATGGTGAGATTCGCTGTGTCGCAAAACTTCCGCACATTTGCTGTAGGGCTCACGCTTGTGGAGTTAACCACCTGGAGTGGACCTTAGCTCCGGCGCTCACCACGCGCCAACAGTGTCATCTGACCCCGCCTTTCATCCCTTCCGCCAGACGTCACCAGAATGCTTTTCATCGGTAGATACAAGGCACCAGATAGGAGACTGGAAGCTTCTCTGTACTGTGTAGATAGTGAGGAGTGTAGCTTGTGTTACCCGGTCGTGAAGATCAGTGTTGAGGACCCTGTTCCACGCAGAATCTAGACCATCCTTCAAAGCAGGAACACCGAGATGCAACATGCGGAGAAACGGCCGACATGCCAGATCGAGCACACTGGTAGACAAACTGCCGTCTCCAATTGCGGGCGAGATGCATCACGAACATCTGCGCCTATGGTGTCATTTATTGTGGCTGTAGGTTGAGCGTCTACTGTGCAAGCACCTTTCGACCACACTTCGAAAATGGCTCAACTAGCTGGTGGACTTCAGGTCGCATTGGCAGGTATCAGTCAAGTAAAAATAGGACTGAGATGGCTACAATGTTAATTAAGTGCTTGTTCTTTCTACTGTCTTTGAATTGAGTCCCCTCAAAATTGCAGTCTGCTTGATTCCGGTAACGTGTTGTAGTCCTCTGCTGACGCTGCAACCGTTAGTTACCATGGGACGCCTGATGTCGCTCTTGGTGTAAGAACACCAAGAGCAGGGCCGAAAGCTTGTCAGAACTTGGTACAACGCTTCCACGCCCGACGCTTGCGTGAGCGGTGAGCGCGCGCTTGCTTAGAGATGGTGTTGTTGATCACTCATGATCTGCCTGTGTGACAGCATCTCCACCAGCATTCTTCAGCACCTTCAAAGCAGGCGACGGACAAATCGCCGCCAGCGATACACCCCGTGCCGTGCGCTTGAGGCTCATCGTGCTCTGCCGCCTGCCCTTGGCATCGCGAGTAGTAGAACTGTCGCACCAATAAGACCGTCTGCTGCTGCTACGTGCATCAAGGTAGCCCTTTGCGACGTCCTGGGCCGCACCCCACGAGGGCTAGAGCAACCATTAGATGTGCGGACAGCTTGGACGGACGCCACATGCTCTGCAACCCGTCTTCGAGTTGAATTGTTGCAAGATAAATCCAGCAATCCCTGGTTCTTCCAACTCGCCCAGTGCTACCACCACCGCGGGTCTGCGGCACGGCCAGAATTTACAGAGTAACGATGACGCGCAACACTCGTCTCCCCAGCGCCATTTATAACCACACCTGCGCGACTTACTGAGCCTCTCGAGCATTTGCGGACGGCGGACCGCTAGTCTTCAGCGCTACCTCTTTCTCGGTTTGGCATAGCTCCGGGGTTGGGATCGTGACAGTCTGGACTGTGCCCCAAAGTCCTGTGGCGCCGCTCCCAGTTTCGTTTCGGAAGGTCTCGTACCTAGGGTGCGACCAGCCAGGTGAGCGGGTTTTGCATCACAATTCATATACAGCTGCCCGGCCGTGGTATCTACGTGTGTTGCGATCTCTGAAGCATCTCTTCTTCTTTTGACGTTGTTCTGTCTGTACTTGGATCGTTCTCGTTCTCGTTCTGTCAGGGTCCAGATCTGCTGCAGGGATCGCCAGTTCTTAGCGACGACCAATGACTTCCACCATGTCGGAACTGCGGGAGGCCTCGCGCAGCGCGCAGCCTCTCCTGCACAACCATCTCACATCCGACTTCGATGTGTCCCGGGCGAAGAGTCCAGGGGCAGGAAAAGACTTCTCCACCGTAACAGAGCGGGCTTTGGAAGATGGCGACATTTCCGACTCGAGTAGCGAAGCGTCACTAGGTTCTCACCCCACTTTCTGGGGCCGTTGCTTGATGGCAGTCCGGAGGAGGCGGCCTTCTCTGCCGAGGCTCGACTATGAGAGTGGAAGGCTGCCAGCGTTCGAGAAGAGAAGGCGGGCAAGGAAGTTTGTTTGGAAGAAGAGGCACGGGGGATGGGGGTGTCTGGGGATAGTGGGCTGCATTGTACTCTTCTTGTAAGTCATGTCTTGCCGCAGCCTTCCGCGTGGGCAGTGTCCGCCTCCATGGCGTTTCTCAGCCATGTGGCTCAGGTTCAGCGCCACATCGATCAACACCATACTAACGCTCTCTCAGTGGCTGCGTGCACATTGTCAACGTCGGTCTCGGCTATGTGCCGCTCATCCACGATGACCCAGCGGCCTTCGCCCTGGACTGGTCCCAACCGAACCAGGCCTCGACAGATATGGCATCCTACCTCTTAGACATCACCAAGGATGTAACCCCAATCCCGTGTCACTCTCACAATGATTACTGGCGCCGCGTACCCCTCTATGATGCACTCCGCTGGGGCTGCACTGGCGTCGAAGCCGACGTCTGGCTGTTCGACGAGGATCTCTACGTCGGCCACAGCACCCACGCCTTGACCAAGACCCGAACCTTCCGCTCCATGTACGTCGACCCCCTGGTGAAGATGCTGGACCATAAGAACGACAAGGCTACCTCGCTCGTCACCACGGACGCCAACTCCACCTCCCAATCCGGCGTCTTCGACACGGCGCCCCGCCAAACGCTCGTCCTCCTCGTCGACTTCAAAAACAACGGCTCAGCCATCTTCCCCTACGTATCCGCGCAGATCGCCGCCCTGCGCGAAAAGGGCTACCTGACCTACTACAACGGCGTCGAGACAATCGAAGGCCCCATCACCGTGGTCGCAACCGGCAACGCCCCCTTCGACATGGTCGTGGCTAACTCCACCTACCGCGACATCTTCTTCGACGCGCCCCTGGACAGACTCGCCCTCGCCCCCGGCACCACCACCGCAGGCCTGCTCGACCAGGCGCAGTACGACGACGCCAACTCCACGGCCCCCGCGGCAGCAACATCGCCCGTCAGCACCTCCGGCCAGGGCACCGTCGGCACCGCGCCGGACAGCCACTTCGACTCCACCAACAGCTTCTACGCGTCCACCAACTTCAAGAAGAGCATCGGCCGCATCTGGTGGGGCCGCGTCACCGCTGCCCAGCGGGAGCTGATCACGGCCCAGATCGAGGGCGCCCACGCCCGCGGCCTGAAGGCACGGTACTGGGGCGCCCCCAAGTGGCCCGTCGCGCTGAGGAATCGCGTCTGGTGGGACCTGGTGGAGATGGGGGTGGATTACCTCAACGGGGATGATTTGCAGGGGATGACGAGGTGGGATTGGGGGGTTCGGAGGCATTGGGGGGTGGTTTGAGTAGGGGTGGAGTCGCCTGCGATGGTTTTGATGGCAGGGATGAATGAATGTACGATGGCGTTTTTTCTTTTTTTTTGTTCAAGCGGTTTGATACCCCCGTCTTATTCGGACGGATGGAATGGAAGGGTGGCATTGTTGGATTCTTCGACATCACGTATAGAC